GCCTCAGCTTTTAGCAGTCATCTCCTACAGCTGGTTGAATGCTGTGAGGGGCTTCCTGTAAGACTGCAGCTGCTTGGGAAGGATTTCTTGAGCTTCAGGCCACCTTGGAGGAGCAGGCACTTGAGACTAGAACTTAAAATCACAACTTCCTGCATCCAAGGCAGTATGGATTTTAGCTCCAGCTTGTGTTTGAGATTTATCAGACTTCTAGTGCCTGCCCTTCCCTCTTTTGGGGAAGGCAGCAGTAGGGCCACAATATTTGTCTTTTGCTCACCAGAATGGTCAAGCAAGTTCAAAGACTGCACTGCTCATGGACATGGTCAAATGCTTACCTCTCACAAGACAAAGTATCAAAGTGAGGCCAAACTGAACAGCTCTTGCAGGGCAAGAGCTAGGACCCTAAGCTTTTGGTATCTTCAGATTGATGTCGGCAGAACTCCCACCTGGCTCACGAAAAGGCATCTTCCTATTGCAAGGCAGAGGTTGAACTGCTAAGTAACTGGAGATGAAAAACAAACAAACAAACAAAAACCAACCCAAAGGAAGCTCTTTGCCAAAAATGGAAGTGTCAAGCTGGAGAAAAAGTGTGAGAGGAGAGGAACACAAGAATACAGTTCTTTGGCATAGACCCGTGACAGTGTTTTAGCAGCTCTACCACACAGCTAAGCTTTGCTGGGGGTGTTGCTACTGCTCCCTTCTTGTCAGATCTAGGAGGATAGAGAAACCTATGGAGGATGGAGGAAAATCATGAAGGGAGTCAAGTTCATGCCTTTCCAGCATCCTGGTCAGTGACCCTTGCGGTAGGCCTGGCCTCAGGAGTGCAAATGGGAGAAAAGGCAACAGGTTCAGAAGATTTCACTATCTCCTTTATAGACCCTAAATGTGTGGCACTCCTTGTGAGAGATTTCTTCAGTTGCTCCCTGGGCTTTCCAGGTGAGGCTGAGCTTGTGGTCTGCAGACCCAAAAGTTCCTAATTGAATTTAGAACACCATGTGATCAGGCAGGGCAGGCTGCCATTTTCTTTCAAGAGAGAGTTACAAGGAGGAAGAAGAGTGCTCCTCATTGCCACCGTGACACTCCTTGTTGTGCTACAACTTCTTCAGTTACAACTTCTTTTGTTTCCTAGGACCCTCCAGATGAGGGATGCCTGAACTACATCTCCCTGGGCTGCCAGAAAGCACCAATGCTTACGAAAAAGACGGACTTCACAGTCTCCAAGTCTGGCATAGAGGCAATGCCTAGCACGAAGTAGCAAACCATGTTTTTCTGTAACAGCATTACTAGAAAGTTTCTCTGTAGGTGAATAATGCTTGTAAAAATGTCTAAGTGGAGATAATGGACTCCTCCTAAAGACAGAGATTCTTTTTTATGTAGAGTTATAAAACTTGCAGAGAAGGAATCTCTTTGCTGAGCAACTGTGCTGTCAGATTTGGAAGGAAGGCTCTCTTCCAACATTTGTTTCCCTTCATCTTGAGCATCTTACAGAAATTTCTCTTTGAAAGGCCCTCTGTGGAATTCTCAGCTGTGCATAAGGCTTAGTCTGTTCAATTTTGTCATCCAGTTCCAAGGAAATACAGGTGTGAACTGAACTGCAAACTTCTGAGGTGACCAAGAGCACAGAAAGGGGTGGAGATTTGACATGTACAGTTTGACCTAGAATTGCCAAGCACCTATAACTAAGAGTTCTCTGACTGCAAGCAACATCATGCTGTGCATGCAAGTAAATCCCTGTCAGAACATGCTTACTAAGAGCTTGCTGATGTGGGGAAGCATCAGCACTCATTCTTCTCAGAGGTAAAATTCTTGGCACTGTAGAATCTCGTCTCTGCTGGCAGCCTGCTTTTTGTCTCTGAATTAACTTTTCATTCGTAACCACAGCCCGCCCTACAGTGGCGAAGCCAAAAACTGCAGCTTTATTGACTTTTACAGTGCATCATTTAACTTCCTTATTTAGAGTTAGTTTGCCCTTAACTGTGCAGAAATAGCCAATACAGAAGATAAGAGAGGAACAAAGAACCAAAAAAGGGAGATTTTGTTTTTCAGTACTGCAGAAATGATGTTCTCAAAAAAATAGCCAAACACTGACAGATTTTAAGCTACATGATGTACAACTCAAGGAAAAGTAGACTGTAGTGTCAGTGCACATATTGTTCGATGACAAAGAATCCACACGAGTGTGTCTTCTAAATGCCTCAAGAGAAAGCTTCAGTCACATTTCACAGATGACCTAGAGGTATCCTTAAACACCCAGGCTGAAGCAGGCACCAGGCTTCACTAGTTCTGGAGCTTGCTTTTTAAAGTGACAAAACTTCCTTCTGGGATCAGCTACTTCTCCTCCTCCACAGATATTAGTTCTCTAATGATAGTATTCTAAAGATGGGACACCTCTTGTGTTTCCTTTTCTCTGCTTCATACTGATGTCTGCCTTCTAAGCTCCAACACTGGCATGGATGATAACATAAGGAAAGGAGGGAGAAAACAGCATAAAGAGCTCTTTTTTCATATAAGGGGAAAAAAAAAGTCCTGAATCTACAGTGTCTCCTGTGCCACAAATTTTACCACTTTCTTTAGCAAAGATGCTTGTATTTATGTTGGCTGTGGCTCAAACCAGTGTAATGCAACTTTAACACACAGAACGTGTGGACCGGTCTCACTATACTTCATGTATTTTCAAGACAGATGTTCACCTCAGACCTAATCTCCTTCAGCTCTCTTTGCAGGTCAAATAAGTACTTTAGAATGCAATCCAGCTAATCTTTGGGTATCTCCTTTAACAGGAAATCAACAAATAGCGATGTAAAGTGCAGCCCTTGAGACAGTACTAAAACACGCACAACCTTGTTAAAATACAATCTGGTGCTGAACCAAGCAATTTGTTTGTGAAATTTTCTTAAAAGTCACTTGTATCACATCAGGATGCGTTATCTATCTTCTGCCTGACTAGCAGAAAGCAGCAATTATCCACCCCACATGTTGGGTCATGCAGACAAGACCTTCATGTATGTTAGGTTTAAAGGAGCCATAGCAGGATACACAAGAGATTTAGCAGCATGTCAGTTGACTTCCTACAGCGTGAAGAACTTGCCTCCTCTTAAAACTGAAGGTCAACAAGACAGCACATGAATAAGCACAAAACCCAAGTTTTTGTAATGTGCTTTTAATCATTCAGAACAAATAAGTTGATTACAAACGGACTCAAAAGACTACATGTGTGGAAAAAAATTGCCCTTTTTCACACAAATAAATTAGAACATTATTAAAATATCAGAGAACACAGATACAGCAACTGGGCAAGGAAAAAGCCTGAACTAGACAAAGAAGATGAGAATGGTGCATAATCCCTTTACTTGAGTGCTGTTAGTTTTTTCTTCTTCATTTTTATGTTAAGCTGATAGCCCTCTTGATACGGTTCAGAGCACTTTCCCTGTCACTTTCTTCTGTGCTTCTGGATTCTCTGGATTCTGAGATTTCACATTCAGTGTCTAGACAACTACAGCTTTCCACGTAAACATACTGATATGTTTGTGTGTTCCCATTGGGGCATTTCAGTTTCACTTCCTTCACACTAGTCTTTTCTTCCCTGCAGCAAGAACAGCTGTGCTCCAGAGAATTGGCCTCCGCAGAATATCTGTTAGCAAGAAGAAAAGGTAACATTATTCTGTGCTAGAAATCAGTACACACTGGAGAGGAAGAAACTGGGTACAGAGGCTTTAAGGAGCATGGAACAGTATGCAGAAGAGCTGCTGCTGAGGCTAATGACTAGTGATGAGCTCATTTGCATTGGTTTAACACACCATGTTTTTAAAATTCATTGCACTGGCTGTGATATTCAGGTAATACAGTTATTATTTAAGTTCAGCTATAAAAAAACAAAACAAAATAGACAAAAAAAAAAAACAATGAGTTCTATGATCAGCTTTCTTAGATTCCTTTCACAACTCAAGCACAGAAGGATGTTAAATATACCAAATGTTTAAAGGAAGCAACAGCTCCTACTGATCGTATGTCACAGCAAAGAACCTTTTGCAGCTTTGTGAGCAGGTACCATTCCTAACTTGTAGAACCTTCTGACACCAGGCCGTGAACTATATCGAGCCACCTTTATCTTATATTTGTAGTATATTGTAGTGCACAGGCAACTACAATAGGACTTTGTCTGAGACCATAAAGTATTTCAAAACACTTACAAACTGTCTGGTTAATCAGTGTTCAATCTGAAATTAATGTTCAGTTTTTTCAGATATTTTCTGTGATAGGGTGCAAATGATTATTTCTTTTGGGAGTCAATAACAACCCTGATCTGTCAGTGGGTTTTAATAGCTCTATTCCAGGTACTTTAGCAGTCGCTTTCTGATAGCCACTTCCTTGAAGTCTTTTATTTCAGGGAGAAACATACGATGAAATTTCTCCACTAACACCACCCCAAAGGAAACTGTATTCTCACTTCTTTACTGTAAGAAGCTATGCATGTTTGACTCTTCACTCAAAAGATGTATGTGTATTTCATTTTATATGGTAATAAAATGGAAAGCAGCTTCTCAGCTAATGAGCATCAGGTTTGGCTGCAATTTGGTCTCTCTACCATATGTGAAATAGTCCAAGTTCTGCTATTATTTTCTGCAAATTATTTGTATCCAAGAAAGTACAACATAAAAGACAAACAAACCAGCTCTCAGTGGTAAAAACACATCATCATAGCTGCCTGAATTCCGAGAAAATCTAATACTCTTTTTTTTTGTGCTAGGATGAATCAAGTGCTCAGTCACAGATTTTATTATTTTGTGCCCATGATTTTGGGAGCTGACAGTTCTAGGTCTTCTTCCATTTTATATATATATACACACATGCACACACATATATATAATATTCCATTATATATATGTGATATATAATATATATTATACATATCTATATATTATATAGATATTTATTGTCCCTTTTACATAAACAATCACAGTGCCCACAGAACTCAAAAATCATTGTCTGATTAGTTTACTTACAGAGAGAAGGTCCCACATGTGCCTTCACATTCAGTCAAATCAACTCTTGTCTCAGAATAGCAGCCCTGATAGACGATAAAGTCTTTTCTTTCACGGACAGAGCATGGCGTGGAGCTATCCAGAGGTGTACCTGTGGGGAAAGATGATCAGAAGAAGTCACTGGAAGAATTCCAAAAGCTCCTTGCAGTTTAGCACACTCAAGGTTTCACTAGTTCACTGAAAGAACCATCTTCAGTTTAAACTTTTCCAGAAAGATCAAATACTAAGTGCTTGGAACAACATACAAGTATCTATGTAAGTGCAAGCCGGTCGGCCTCTATAAAGGAATGGGTTGATTTAAGATTAAAGTTACTTCTCTGTATTGTTGTTGATTCACGTTCACTGACATACTTACATGTTTTACAACAACCGTTAGGTAGGAATGTAACAGTTCCCTGAAAAAAAAAACAACGAAGAAACAGAAAAAGGAACATTATTATTGTTTTCCTATAATAATGAACTTTCTAGATCAGTAACTGAGGAGAGCAACTCCTTAATAGCTGGAAATTATGACAGAGTTGATCTGAATAACAGTTAGTTTATGAACACCATAGGTCTATGCATAGATGCAAAAATAAAACAAAAGAACAAAACAACAGAGAAACTTTCTAGGAAAATGACCAAAGTTTAATGTTACTTTGTTGCTAATTAGATGGTTGAACTAAACTGCAGTAATTCATGCACTGGAGGTGAGTTTTCTATATTTACTTACAGGTTTGCAGCTGTCCTCGTTGAATGCTGGGCAGGTTATTTCAGATGTGGAGGAGATAAGCTGATCATGAATAGTTACACAGCTATAAAGGGTACAGTTGTTGTAAGGATCATTTTGAAACTCTCCAGGCTACAAAGAAGATGCAAAAAAATAATAAAGAAAGCTGAAGGGTTCTCAAGCCAAAATTTCCTGTCCTCTGACATGGACTATCATCTTGTTTCCCAGCTGATTATTTTTGGATTAGCAGAAACTTTGGATACAGCATATTTCATGTATCAAAGGATGCCATATCTGGAGAGGATTTTCGGGGTTTTGCATAGTATTTCCCTTAAAAAGAAAAAACCCTTTGAAGTATGTAGAGTACACACGAGAGATATGAACGATCTCACTTGTGTCACTGGATTTTGACTAGGGAAAGCTAAAACTTCCAATGGTGATCAAGAATAATTCTAAATTTCATTCTGCAAGGCAGTAAAGCCACTCCCATAGACAGGCTTTTTAGCATTTTTTCAGCATGTAGAAATCAAGCAATATAAACAAGCAAAAACCTCTAGACACTGCAAGAAAAACCCTTACTATAGCACTTCTGACTTGTCATTTCAAGAAGAAGCTTTCCAGAAAATCTGATTTCATTAGTTCATCTTTCATGACAGGAAGCTGTAGGTAGGCTTTGCTTAAGGTGGGCCTCTGACCTTTCAGATGCAAACTTACTGAGTCTGATCTCTGCCATTAGTAATTCTTTACACCCGTTCTCTTCGCACTTTCATAAGAGAAAAGGAATGCCATGTTTTACATATCTACCAAATTTGTAAAATGTACTTACACTCAAGACCAGGATGGAACTTTCTGAGGTATGTATAACACACTTAGTCTGCACACATTTTCCACAACATTCACCAGTCACTGGCTGACGTTCATATCCCTATATAGTAAAATTAAATTAAAAATTAAGCACTATGGTATGTGCATTTTTTGAGAAATAAATAAAAACATAATAATCCATGAACTAGTTATACTTTGAAATACTCTATACTTGTGCCTTTCTGCGCTGCAGATTATCAACCCCACAGAAAACATGTAATGGAACAGGCCAAATATGCCTAGTAGTTAAATACCATTTTTTCAAGTGTTCTACAAAAATTCTCCAGGTAACCCCTCCCCATGTGAACCCCTCCCACATTATCAAGCTACACAGAATAGATTGCTCCAAGACAGGCAGTGTCCATGCAGGTGCTGGACTTTGAATTTCTAGATCTGCTTTCCATGTACATCCACTTTTTGGATTTTTTCTCTGTTTGCAACTTACTGGTTCACAGTATGTGTCGCAAGGAACATGTTCACAGGAGATGACATTCAGCTGAGTGGTGATGTTAACTTCATTCGTGCAGTAACAATTCTGACACTTATCAATAAAGACTGAGGAATTGGGCTATAAATTTTAAGACACAAAGATTCATATTTAATGAGATTATATGTATGACAGATTTCTTAATTACCCCAACACCTCTAAACCAAGCAACTGAAAAGGGATCCAACACAAATAGTTTGGGATAGCTATTTGGCTTGCTGCTTTTGCACACTTGTTTAATATTGAATTTAATTTAACATATAATTTTATTGAAGTCCTGTGCAGCAACGATGAATTCAGATTACTAGATGGACAGGTGTCAAATATTTGCAATAAAAAAATCATTGAAACCAAGATAATTTTTCAGGACTTTCAGGCTCTTAGAAATAGTCCTTTGCAAATCTTCTCACACTTGAAAGCACAGTCTTAAAATTGCAATAAAATGCATGCTGATGCCAATTGCAGATTAATTTTGTAAGATTATAAAATCAAATCCATCTCTTGTATGGACATTTAGAAAAAACAGGTCAATCTCTTTCATATACAGCAACCTTTTTTGAACAAAAAGACAGACTCTGTGAAACTGATAAATCCCTAACATGATTTTGAAATTGTCTTAAATATAAAATATAATAGATGAAAACTTCTTCATAGCATTTGAGCTAAACGATGCTAATTAAACTCAAAAGCATTTTTGCTTCAGATGGTTTAAACAGGAACTTACCAAGAACTCAGCATTCTGATGTACACAAACGCCCTTGGAAACTGTTAAAAGAGAGAAATAAGTCGTTACACAGACAAACAAACATGAAAAAAGAAAAAAGAGAGGAAGAATACTGTTTTCACTCCACTCCAGCCACACCACTGTGTGTATGTTCAAAAGACTGGTTATTTCCCATTTCCAGTAATACATATGACATATAAAAGAAACAAGTATGATTACTGCACATGCAAAAAGGGAGGAAGGTTTGGCCTGATACACACAGTTCAGATCATAACAAAGAACATTCTGTTAATGGGTATGAGTAGCTCCCTGTGTCCATTACACAAATAACACATCTTCCCTCTGCATACTTAAAGGGATATTCTAAAGTAAACTGGGAGCACAATCCCAGTTATTCTGTAATTGTTCTTGCATATACTTAAAACTAGGAAAATTGATCTTGAACCACTGATGCCCTCTGTACCACTCTCTTGAGCTACAGTGCCAGATATGTTCACAGTAACCACCCAGAATCTGAGTGCGTTTGTTACTTCAAGGAAATACTGCATGCAGTCTTCCTAACCTTTGATGCTAAAATATATAAAATACAATGTGTAAATTGTTGTAATATATTTCCAAAGGACTTACCACACCGGTATACAGGACAGCACTGACCATTGGGAATATGAGAATAAACTTCAAATCCCAGATCACACTTGGGTGGTGTAGTTGTGCAAAAGCTTGTATTGCATTCTGAAAAGAGGAATAAGGCAGAAGACACATTATATCATGGCTACAGAAAAATAATCATCTATTAGGGTCCCATCTGAACATTTAGGTTAGTCTTTCTAGTGATAGGTAATGAGCCAGATCCTCCTACCACTCAAAAATACTGCTGATAGAGGACACATTTTTTTCCTAGTGAATCCAGGCATTAGATGGAGGATTGCACTAACTTATGAAGCTTATTCTAGTATGTAATTGCCAAGTGTTAGAAAAGTATCACAATACCTTGCAGAGAAGCAGTGGAAATTGTTACAGGACTCTGTTTTTCTGAGATTACAGGCAACTGCTGCAAAATGGGAATCCTACAGCTACATATAATTCTACAATCTATTTGCATGCTGCTTCAATAAAATGTGACCCTGAGCTCAAGAACTGTAGATTCAGTTTATGTCAAGCCATCGCAATATTGAAAGGAACTTCCCCCAACACTGGACAAACTGATTTAGAAAGCATGAGTGAAAAGACTATTTTGTGACTGTCTACTGTAGGTCTGTAGTGAGAAACTAATTCAGTTCTCTTTACTATTCATAAAGGATAGTGAAATGATATAAACAAGTATAAACTCACTGCAGCTGATAATGGGGCAGCAGAGATCTTCAGAATTGACTTCAGTGACCTGATAGAGGCCTTCTCCATCACAACTGATCTCATCTTGTTCTGCACATTTGTGAGCCTCACACACAATGCCTTTTCCACCTTCCAAGCAAACACAGTCCTTACAGTCTATTGTAAACTCTTCTCCAAACTGCCACCAAAGAAAACAAAGTGATTATATGGTTAGCAATTAAAAAGAAGCACAAACAGGACTGAAATGTGGGGAGATAATTAACGAGGACTGTTCCAGTGAAGGCTACTTATTTGATTCTCCACCCCTCAAACACACACACTTGAAATACAAAAGCAAGTAGCAACATACCTCTCTGGGCACATCATCCAATCCAACACAACCTGTGAAAATATCAAGATAAATTTTTATTACCACTAATGTAACAATAACCATCTCTATGTAGTATGATTAAGGCATACTGTCAGATCTATGCTGTATGAGAGGGCAAAAATACAGAGGAAACAAATATGCATTCAAGTACAGCAGTAAAACTCACCACAAGTTGTTACACAAACATCCACACCAGCATCATACAACATAGTTCCGTTAGGGCAGAAACAGCCTTCCACTTCTTCTGTTTCAGTTTGATTTTGCTGCTCTGGACTGCATTAGACAAAATGTTCAGAGGAACACCATTACTGTCACAGGCACACAGTCTGAGATCAAGCAAAATATACTTTAACAGAAAATACAGGGGCAAATGATCTGCAAATCTGTGATTTATGGATTTTCCAGTATTCTTGCTTTGGTAAAGAGTCAAACAACATAAAAGTATAGGTACCCAGGTTTAAGATCAAGAGAGTAGTAATGGTAACTTCTGATAGTCAATTCAAAAGACAACAGGAGGTTGACTTCCCACATCCACCTATAAATTAGATATGACTGAATAGTTATATGAGATGTAATAGCAGTGATTTTTGTTTACCTTGATTTGCAGGTTATCTCTGTAATAGGACCACATGCTCTATATTCCTTGTGCGCAGGGCATGTATAAGCTGAACAGGAAAATAAAAGAAAAGGAAGAGCTCAGTAGGGATATCAACGCCTCATGCACTTATGTCAAGTTCTGAAAGGGGAATGTATCCTACCCTTCTTACTGCACCTGAAAATTAGCATGTCATTAAATACAAGAGTGATCCATTGATGTCTGCAAAATACACAATCGCCTATGTAAAAAAGAAAATGTCTATAGATAAACCATCAATGGATGTATACTTCTGAAGGCTCATTTATCACTGATATGGTAAAAAAAAAAAAAAAACACCTCTGTAAAATTACTAGAGGGAGGCCTTTGGTGCTTACAAGGCAATATTGACAACAGTTAGGAGAGCTGCTGAAATAGTTTCATATATGATTCCCTAATAGTTCAAGATAAATGCCAAAATACTTACAGCAAACTCCATTGGTATGACTTCTCCATTCAAGGCAGACACCTTGGTCAGCACAGATGGCAGCATAGACCTGCAAACTTGAGCATTCCAGGTCTAACTGGGGAAGTGTGCAACTGTCAAAAACACATGCTGTGTAGAACTTCTCAGGGTCAACGATTTTATGGCACTTCTCGAACACGCTAGAAATATATATCATCATTAGCTCCTGAATAATTGATGAATTCTTCATTGTGCTTAACGTGTTATAACATGGCAGAAGTGGTACTTAGGGATATGTGAACAAGAACTGAGAGGTTTTCCCAAACAGTGTTTGGCAAGAATGTTACTTTAAAATATGCTGGGAGATATTGTTCCTATCTGCAACATGATCGGGCACCTTTCCATCCAGAAGCTAGATGAATAGTACCAAGTGGAGGCATGCACTATATTGCAAAATAGAGTTCGATTTTTTTGTTCATCTGACACTTGGTTTTAAAAATGAACATCTCTGTCTTCAATGCGTCTCAGTTTTTGAGTGAGCACAGAAAAAGATAAGAGACATAGTAGAATGTGAGAACATCAAGGAAGGCTGATTTGGCAGCCATAAGAAGTTAACTAAATCAGCAAGGAGAATGACATCTTGAAACAACAAAAGAGTTGGAAGCAGCTCTCAAAGTTACAGCATATGGAAGAACAGTTAGGAACACTTTTATGGAGAGATTAACCTCAAAATTTCCAGTAAATTTGAATATCAAGGCTTACAAATAACGAAGAAATATCTACCTTCCTAACAGAAGCTGGCATATTGAAGATTCTTCGCAGGCCTGGCCTGTGGTTGTGCTAGGCCCTTTTGTTGGAAGTATTCCTGGAGAGCACTGTGGTTTAGAAGGATCAACAACTTGCCAATGATCTGCCATGGTTTCACAGTTTTCTGCAATGTTTCCATTCGGTAACATGCAATCATCTGCTGTGTTGTTATTACAAGTACCTATAATTAATAAGGAGAGAAAAAAAATCATGGATTTGTTCTCTAATTCCACTAATCTTTGTAGCAAGGTAGTAATGCACCTGCTTGTCACTTTTTAAGACCAAAAAAAACATATAGTAAGCCTTACCACACTGTCCTTGCGTGTTGTTGCCAAAAAGACTGTAGGGCATTCTGATAGAAAAGGACAAGCCATTGAAAGTTACATTCATCTTAAGTTCAGGAATATCCACCACCTTATTTATGCCTGACTCATAGACAGACAAACCAAATTTTTTGTAAGGCAAAGCTACTTCCTGTTGGTTTACTGTCACCTAATAGTAAAAGCAAAACAAAACAGAAAATAGACATATATTTAGCTTGCTTTGGAAAATAAATCAATTGTTCATTACTTTTCATTGGTAGGCAAGTAAAGTTCTCATAGGCAAATAAAGGCAAATAATGTTTTTCTTCTGCAGAAAGTGCCTTGTGTTTTCTTTTATGTTACTGCAAACTTAAAACTTCTCAGAGCCAAAGGAAAGGTCGATGAGCCATTGATAAACAAGTTTTTTAAAATGTAAGCCAGCTAAAGCCTAACACTCTACAGATTTATTAGAATGACCATGGCATTGAAGATGCCCTGTAAAAACAAAATATAAAATTATCTTGAATTTCTAGACTTTTAACTTTCTCAGAAAAATACCTAAAGAAAGGGAGTATGTCTGTAAGAAAATTAAATGAAAAAAAAAAGCCAAAAATCTATAGTGTTTATTTAAATACAACAATGATGGATAAACCTAACTAAGAGGCTTACGTTTTGAAATCTGTTAATAATTTACTGCAACGTAGCTTGTAATAATCCTGAACTATTTATGACAAAAACAAACAAACACAAAAAACACAAAAGCCTCAAAACAATTACTTCTCAGCCATTTTAGAAGCCCTAGTGTTTGGACCATCATGTTTACCAATAAAATAAAAGAAAAAAAATCCATCTTTTAAAGAAGATTTAAAAGGAGACAACATTTATAGACAGTAAGGGTATTAAAAAAATACTTAAGGTCAATACTTGCATTGCTCTGTTGAGTTTATGTTGTGTCCTCACATTCAATATTCATTGATTTATTTTGTTATGTTAATATAATTATAAACAAATTTATTTTATACCCTTAACTGGTATCAATACTGTCAGGTTCATACATTCTGGAGAGACAAGGCAATGCAAATATTTGAGTTTAGAGAGGGACGAAATTGTAGAAATTCCTTCAGTATACAGACTGTCATAAAAAGCAGTCTTTCAAAACAGTCCTGTTTTCCAATCCAAGCTGGTATTGGAGGGAAAACATAGATTATTCTTAAAAGCTTTTCCTAATGCTGTGGATATAATTATCAGGGTCATGCTGTATTAATATTTCAACATATAAAAGAGAGCATTCTCCCATACCTCTACTTGTAGGGAATTTGGTGTAACTATCGCTATGCGCACTTCCTGAGTCTCATGTCTCACAATGAGTGTTCGTGGACAGGACACTGGATCATGTACATCACAGTGGTAGTTATCAATGTACACGCCAAAGTTGTCAACTGATTTATTAATCTCTTCCACAAGGACATATGTACAATTCCCTTGATAGCTGTAGTAGTATCCATCAAATGTCATGTAATGCGGGTCTCCCCAGCCTGTGCAGAAACCTATAAAGAGACTCTGTTAGATTAGCTTTTAAAGGCAACATACAGAATCATATCAGACTACAAACTGTGCAGGTGTGGGGTTCATCTCTTCTACTGTAAAAAAAAAAACTTTAAAATTTAGATATCCATTTGGGAGCTTATCTGTAAAAGATGTAAAATGTGTCTGGAACTCATCTGTAAAAGACAGAGAAAAAGAGTCACTATCACGGCATGATAAATTCAACTTATTTCTATTACATAATTGAGAATAAGATGAACTGTCTTAGAAATACACCAACAAACAGTCAAGCAAGCACTCACATGTAGGTCTCCAGCCTATAGATATCTGTGTCTGGACATATAAATGCTACTTTGGAAGACCAATTGCTAGCAAGACAGCAGTTACATAGAAATTATGACTATCAAATTAAGTAAAAGCCCAGAGTAACTAAAAAATAATAATTAAAAAAAAATCAATGTAGCATTCTAAATAACTCAATACTGGAAGTCTAAGGGTTACAAGCCTCATACAATCCTGAGGTCTTGCACAATCCTTGTCCCATGACAAATATTACTCTTGTTTCTAGTATTGATTCTGCAAATTATTCCACAAATTATATACTTACAGTCACACTCCCAATGCCAACAGCATCCATCTGCATCGATAACTTGCACAGGAGCAAGCCCATTGGTACAAGTGGGTTTAGGAGGTGGATTACAGATTACTGGAACCAGCACAAATTTGTCGTCTTCTATACATATCGCCTCTGTGCAATTACAAATCCACAATGATTCACCTGCCTGTATTTGAAGAGAAAGAAAGAAATAATAATAAAAAAAGGACCCTCATGAAGTTGTCAGATTGGTAACAGTTATATGTGAATACCTTTTATAGAGTTATGAAACAGAGGGTATTTACTGATGGTTTTCTTCCCAGAAGTCTGAAAATGGGAACAAAGTGCAGCACTCAGCTGAATAAGCAAAGCCTGTAAGATGAACTAGCTTCATTGATAGGTGCTTAGTGAAAGTCAATAATTGCCAGTCATGATGGTAATCAGATGGGGTAAATGTCTTTTTTAACTTCAGCTGCCTAACTGCTAGAGTTCTAATCTAATCTCATCATCTGGACTCCCTCTGTCACCTTCCCTAGATGTTCAATACAGATTAAACAGAGATGAAGCAACAGAGAATACTAATTGGGATACGAAGTCTAAGGAGTTTTTATGTGTGCATTGTGACGGTAAACAGCTTGTCAAATTTTCATCAGTTTTCAGCCACAATTTATTTTTATCTCTGAAACTCTAAGAAGCATTACAAGTACCTTAGCTGTGAAGAATATTTAGAACCGTACGTGCCATGAGTGTTTCCTAACTGGGGTCAAATCTCATGAATGTTTCGATATCATTTGCTTCATAGTCCCGACTTGGAACCAGACTTGCCTATTTGTAACAAATCCAAACTTTTTTTTTTGTTGGGCTGGAGTCTGACATTGGAAAAAAAAAACAAACAAACCTACCCCAGTATCAGTCTATTAAAAAGGAAAAGGCAATTTAGCACTAGTTAGTCCTTAGTTCTCTCTCCACCAAAGTTCCTACACAGTAAACACTGACCTGTGATAGAACTCCTGAAGAAAGGTGATTTTAATCCTATCCTTAGAGAATTAACTAGCATATGAGCTGCAAGATGAAAAAATTACTTCAAGTCATGCCAATATCCAAGAAAATAGCATGAAATAGAATTATTTGATACTTCCTTTTCTATCCAGAATAATATCTGCACTCTGTATTACTAATGCGGTAACTATGCATAAGGTAAATGAAATATACAGAATGTGCCAATACAAGAATTAAAAACCCTGTTTTGCAATAACACTTCTACAAGTCTTCTTTTCAAAGAAAATCAGTAAGGAGAGAAAAAAAAAAAAGAAATTTACTAACCGAAATGGTATGATCAGGGAAAATAGTACAATATTTTCCAGGAGTTGTTTGTGGCACTGAACTTGAAGTAGTTGTAGCAACTGTAGATGTTCCTGAACTGCTGACTGTACTTGAGACAGTACTTGGCCCAGAGGTACTAGTTGAGACAAGTGAAGAGGTGATGGTGGTTACAGGGGTGGTGGTGGATCTAGAAGAAGTTGTTCCAAAAGTGGTGGTGAATGACTGTGTTGGAGTTGTTCCAGAAGTAGTGGGTAAAACTGGAAAAGAGGTCACTGCAGATAAGGTTGGCTCTGCAGAAGTTGTTCCAGAATGGATGGTAAAGCTGGTTGATGTTGGGAAAGAAACAGCTGATCCAGTAAAAGTACCAGTTGATGTGGTTTCAGTTATTCCAGATGCCAAGGTGAACACAGTGGTAGTTTTAACAGATGTTAGGGGTGATCCCAAAGTGGTGGCTTCAGTGCTGGGTGCCGTTTCCGTTACTCTGGACGTTGTGACTGAAATGGGGGTTGCTGACCCTTCTGGACCTGGTGGTCGGGTAGTAGGAGCAGTAGTTTCAGTATATACTGTACTGGTTATTTCTGTAATCGTATTTGTTTGAAGTGATGTTGTTGAAGGAGTAGCACTGGTAGTAGTGTTTGTTGGTACTGCTGTACTAGTGGTTGGATGTACTTCAAGAGAATATAAAAATGTTATTTAGTAGCAAGTAGAAAATTACTGTTATTATTTTTTTCCTTCTACTAAATTAAATAAATTATTAAAAAGACCTAAGGATATTGAACTAGGCAGTAATCATAGAGAAATTACTTTCTTAATGGCATTTTACAAAATGCATACCTCATAAACAAAATGTTCTCTGTATAAAAAGAGATTTAAAAAGTTTACCAAATACCTGTATTGGATATACCAGCTCTCTAATTTCTAGTAAATTTATACTACAGAGAAAAGCTCAGCAGTCTTAAATACAGTAGCAATCATAAAGAGGGCCAGCATCTTCTTCGGTTACTTCTGTATTGCTGTAATTATATACCCAAGGAATCACTATTTCCGATGCTACTTTATCAAGCATGCTCAAACCAGTGATAATCATGCTAAGGGTTACTGGGCTCCACAAAAACTACGAAGTACATGGAGCCATCTCTGTTGCTTACCCACTTACCAAAGCCTCTGAAAAACCCAGTTCATGATGAATGTTGGTATCTGAAAAATTCACTTTTCCATGTCATCCTCTTCACAGAAACAAGCCTGATTTAATTAAAAGCCTTACTAAATGCTTTTTAGTGACAATTAATAAATAGTTCACATACCTATAGGTAAAGAGATGGGAGGCGATGGGGTCCTGATGATTACTGTTGGGGTTCTGAGAGTGGTGGTGAGCACTTCGCCAGTGGATCGAGAGGCTGTACCAAAACCAGTGGTTGTTGATACATTCGGAGTGACTCCAGTGGGTGGAGCTGTCAGGGAGGTGGTGGCTGTTGCTGAGGCGGTACTGATTATCGTGGTCGGGGTGGGTTTTGATGTGCCTGAAGTGGCACTGGTGGTGGTGGTCTGCGAGATGGTAGAAGCAGTAGTGTATGGTGTGGTGCTGCTGGGAGCCTCTGATGATGTGGGTGTGGGGACTGTTGTTGACACATGCGAAGAAGTGCCCCCCGTGTATGGAGATGTCAGCAAGGTGGTGGGTGT